ATTATGTTTAATAATGGGATTTTAAAAGAAAGTAGAATAATAAAATTTTTAGGTTTATTAATAGATAACAAACTAGATTGGAGCAATCATATAGAATTCATAAGGGGTAAACTAATAGGACCAGTGTATATACTAAAGAGACTTAGTTACACTGTGCCGAGTGCCTACTTGAGATCTATTTATTATGCATTGGTTCATTCACACCTGCAATACTTAATCTGGTCAAATACAACGAAAAAAAATTTCAAGTCGCTAGAAAATATTCAAAATAGAGCAATAAAAAACATGTACTCACTTGATAACCAATATCCTACAATTAACTTATACAACAACTATAAAATTTATTCTCTAAAAAACATTTACAAATTCCAAGTAAATTCATTCATACACCAAGTTTTAAATCATTCGAGGCATTCTAACTTAACGTTCACTCTAGGATCTAATCTACACGAACACAACACTAGGACCAGAACAAATATAATCAGTACATCATGTAGATCGCGGTACGGTGTTAACTCAATCTTTTTTAAAAGAGTAAATAACTATAACTCGACTTTTTGGGCTATATATAGAGTATATATTTTCTCAAGCTAATCGCTATTTAACATTATTAATTCTCTCTGTGATATGTATGTAAAATAATTAGATTTTAAGTAATAAACAAGATTTTAGTGTGTTAATTATCTGTGATATAGGTATGTTAATAATTAGATTTTAAGCTAACATTTTTTTTCATGTTAATAATCAGGACTTTATAAAAAACTGTAAGGGGATGAACCTCCATAGATTTTCTTTGTAATGTCTCATTGGTTCAATAAATCTATTCATTCATTCATTCAGAACATCTGTTGGACTGTAAAAATGCAGGAAAGCGTTATTCAAATTTATACCTGATTAATTAATTAGTAAAATCAACTTTCAACATTTAAGTAAATATTGGTGGACCAATCAGATTTTGGTTGGATAATTTTGACAGGGGAAACCATTTTTGATTTGGGTGTCGAAGTTTCTGAAAGCGTTTTAAGGGAGAACCTAAAAGAACGCATTAGTTTTGATAATCCGCAATAGAAAATCAACAATATAATCAAATTAACCTCAGTAAGGCCACCTGACATTAAAGGTAAATAATATTTTCAGTATTTTGACTGGTTTTCCTGTATTTTATAAAACATCCCAAATAGCATTTTCATTAGAGCTTCGCGACCCCCGACCAAATTTGTACCAGAACCAACGTCGGTCATTGTGCAAATCAAAGTTGTTTTCGAACTTCTAATATAAAGTTGCAAAAAGTCGTCCAGAGGACGACTGCACAACGTCTGCGACTATAACACCTATAGAGTATTATAATCTGTCCACTGATGACGTCCGCGCAACGTTTAAATATATGTAGGAAATATTACTGGAGTACGGCAACGATGGTCCGACGTTGGCTTCTTTCCCTCGAAGCCAACGTTGCGAATTAGTGCAAATGGGACGTCGGACTGTAGGTCAAAAATGTGTTGTTTTGTTTATTTTTCTATGGTTGAAAGTGAGGTTATAGTTGCGTTGCGTTTTTCTATCTTGCTTTTGTTGCAGAGACAAGTTGTCTATATATGGGTCTATGGGCCAATATAAAACCCCATTTTCCTCCCATTGATGGGGTACCGGCTCGACTTCCCCTAGATCTTTTATTTGAACAACTTTAAAATGATGTTCGCCCATTTTTTGTGCAAAACCACAGGTCTGTGTGCAAAACAGACACAGACCAACAAAGAATTAATCAACAAACAAGTCACCATCCAAAATAAGTAAGGTTAGAGATAAAGACTATTTTTAGTCATGTGATACTATCACAGTGATAGTTGTGTCTACAGACCCGGAACGACGTTGGGGCAAATAAGTCGGACCGACGTAGTAATGTAATACGAAGGGTGCACCGCGGTCGGAAATGGTGCGCGCTTTAAGACTTGGTTGTCCTCTTGGTCCAAATAAGTAATGAAACAGTAAAAATTTATAGACACTTCGTCGGAGTACGGTTAAATATCTGGAGTTTCCCAACTACGCCATTTTTATATCATCCATATTTGCAACTCGAGTAATGATCATCACGAATATTCACTTTTACAGATTGAATGTTTAAAATAAAGTTAAAAATTATGTCTCGTAGTTTTTAGTTAATTCTTAAAGATGTTTTGGTGCATTTTCACATTGATAACTGCACAAAAAAAATATGTTTATTTTTTTTTCTTCCGAAAAATATTGTTAATTTAAATATTTCTTAGGGCGCATTAATTTTTTTCGATCCACCTCGGTCACATTCATCAGTAAAGTGACCTGTGTTTGTATTTTTCAAGAATCTCTCTGCGATACAATTCCATTCTTAATGAAAATAATATCTATAAATTAGTTAGTGTAAGCGACATGATTGTTTCGTTTGTATGGATGATTGTGTTTGATGCCACGATGCCATCTGTTGGTTAAAATATATTCGTACTCTATGATTACACAATGTTAATCAAGAGGGCGCTAATCACTAGCGGCCAGTGTTAGAAAGGTCGTCCCGAGTATATTGTTTTGGAACAAGACGACGTCGGGAGAGTCGTCCAAACCGACGTTGAATTTAGTAAGGAATTCTTTCTTAATCCGACGTCGCGTCCGACGTCGTACCGACCAGGATTTTTATTCCCCATTTTGGTGCAGATTCAAGTAAATACGTAGTCGCGCAGACGTTGTGTACCGACGTCGGGTTGTTATAAGCGACGTTGGCCGGACGTCCAAATGCTATTTGGGATGCTGAACAGTGTTTCTCTTTTCAGCCTTCATTTCTCGATATTTTTATTTACGTCCTTTTGTTCTTATGCTCGATGGTTCTTTAACGTCCTTTTAAAGTAAGCGTCGTTATTCGAGCTATTTAGGAATTAAATGGTGACTGTACACCATACACGTTATCAAAAGTATAATTGCTGTTTACCTGAAAGAAAGTTTATTAGTACAAGATTTTTAAAAAATACTTATCCAACAACGCATTGCTTTCCGTGTCAAGAGAATCATTGAAGTAATTTGTTGCTACTTTGGTGATTTCGTTTGGATCGATACCATATGAGGCATTGATGTATCTGAATAATTAATAGTCAACCATTTTTTGGTAAATTAGTTTACTCACCGATCTTTGTAAACTGAACACATGTGTAAGGTATTTATTAATTTTGTTTTAATTATAGAAAAATTATATTATTTGGTTCATGTTGACTCTAATACGTAGAACAATGGTGCCTACCACACAATGTTTCCTTTAAACATTTAATAAAACTAAACATTTTATTTTTTTAACTAATAGTAAACTTGAGCATTTTTGTTAAAAGAAACATCCCATTTTCCTCCTCCTTTTTCTTGTCAAAAGTTCACTTTTATGGCGTCCACAAATAAAAACAATAATTAACATCTGTACCCTCACCCGCATGCGGTAATAGCTGCAGAAGGCGAAATGACAAAATATTAATTAGTTAATTTTGTCATTATTTATTTTTAATAAATTTTATCAATATTTTATATAGTTTTATTATTAGTAACAATTATTGTTATTATCGTTGATATTATTATTATTATTATTTCCAGGACAATGACCCGCTATCTATTTTTCCGCCATCCGAAAATAAAACTTATTATTAGGCAATTTTCATAATTTATTTAAAATCGTAAAAAAATTACCAAATTAAACCCTTTTTTCGATCTCATAATATAAACCATGGAAAATACATATTAATATATTTAATACAGGTTGATACGACGAATAATAAAAGGGGCGTTATCACACGTGGCCGGCGAAATTTCTTTAATGCGAAATAAAACGCTATTGAATAAATACCCGAAGGCGTAGCCAGCGAAATGTGTTTTAAGCGAAATCGGACAGATGCTGGAAAAATAATTATTTCCCCGATAGTACAGATGTAGGGTTTTCAAAAAGTTTTTCTAGTTTTCAATTTTAATATTTACACAGGTTTTTTATGTAGGACACGTTAGTAATAGATTAAAATATAAATCAACCTACTATATCCCTTAATGTAAACCATAAAAATTGCTTGACTGTAAAATTCACCAAAATGTACTTAGAACCTTATGGAACTTAAAAATATTTTAAAAAATGTTCCTCATAAAGTTAAAGTTAAAGTTAGAATATTTTTATATATTGTTTATGGAGAATTTTATGTCCACACAAGCAAAATCTAAATTAAAAATTAGATATTTTAATGTTATTCACTTTTTACAAAACATAAAAAAACGTGAACAATTTATATATTACTTTGAAATGTTTTAAGGAAGCAGCGGTCATGCACCAGAACCCTGACTGCCTTAGTAAGCCTTAAGTTGAGTTAAGGAACGTCTGTAAACCGCTGTTATGGAATTAAACCATGCATGGATCCATCACACTTTAAAATAAAAAAAATCGTATGAGTCAGGGGCTTTTTCCAGAGTCATCTGGCAACACTAGCAGTTATGGAGTTCTCCATCCAAAGGATTCGTATTCAGGCGGTCTGAATACGAATCCTTTGGATGGAGAACTCCATAACTGCTAGTTTTGCCAGATGACTCTGGAAAAATGCCCCTGACTTATACGATTTTTTTATTTTTAAGTGTGATGGAGAATTCCATAACTGAATCAGGCCAGAAACTCAGCCTTCTTTAGTTCTCCGTATAAGTTCTCTGGTTCGCAACTTTTGACGTGCGAGCCGGTTCATTTAATTTTCATGAATCTGTTCACACAGATCAATTCGAAGATCCGGTTCACTGAGCCGGTTGAGATCTGATCGACCCGTGTATATCTCTATCTACAATCATACGCCGCATGCAGAACCAGTCGCGCGCATAACGGAAGGTTAAAGATTATTTAATTCTATATTATTTTAATTAAATTATAATTATTTATTTAGGTTAATTTTAATGGAGAATTTTTAAAATTTTGTCGAAATAGATGAAGTAAAAGTAATCGTTTTATTTAATTGTTTACTTAATATGTATTTTAGGAATTACTTGTACGGAAGGTTCTTTATGGAAGATACATAGAGCTTTTGTTATGACTCATTTGCGAAATTTGGGTTACGGCAAAAACATAATGGGTTTCATGATTAAAGAAGAGGTTGCTGACATCTTGGAATTGCTTTCACAAAATTTAAATGTTCAAGTGGGCAAATTTTTGGCACAATCTGTATTAAACATACTTTGGGCATTCACAACTGGAACCAGGTTTTCAAGAAATGACAATCGTCTAAACAAACTTTTAGATTTACTGAGTACAAGATCTAAGGCATTTGATATATCCGGTGGAACTTTATCTCAACATCCCTGGCTAAGGTTTATTGCGCCAGAAAAAACTGGATTTAATCTTATATTAAAACTAAATAAAGATTTAAATAAACTTTTAATGGAAACCATTAATGAACATAAAAAAACTTGGACTGAAGGACGAAATGATGACTTAATATATTCATTTATTAGTGAAATGAAGAGGGAAGATTTGGGTGATTCTACATTTACGGGTAAGAATTTAAATACATGTTTTTTTATTATCACATGTACCTATTATATAAACCCTACATAATATATATGGGGCATTCCATGAAACAATCAGTGTTTTTTACCCCACCCTCTTTGATTTTGCTAAATTTTTGATACGTTTTTAGTACGTATTAAAAGCAACTTGCACACCAATTTTTAGCTTTTTATTCCAAAACGTTATTGAGATATGGATTTTTTAAATTTTGAGGTGAAACAATTTCATAATAATAGACTAGTATCATTTTTTTCGTTTTTAAATGGAGCTTCAGAAAAAAAATAAACATAAATTATTCGAAGTGAAAAGTGAAGTGAAATTCCGACCCCTTCGATATTTTTGAAAATATTTCCCAAAATTCTTCTTCATATTATGCAACTTTTGAGCCAAAGCAGAAGATGTGATCACAATTATTTTTATTTTTTTTTAGCCAATAATGAATTTTTATGATTATTTTTTATTTACCTAATTATCCAAAAAACTATTTTTAAACATAATACTTGTCTATTATTACATTAAAAACAATTTTATTGAATGAATTTAAAATATTTTATTTAGTAATATTAATTTACATTTCATCCAATCCGTTTTTTTAAATTTTTTTTGTACTTGATGCTTTTTATTCTTCTTGATAGTATTGTGAAGTGCCTAATTCATATTGTACCTAATCGAATTACGCAGATATCATACGTATATATACGTGCTATACGTAGTATACTATAGTAGCGCTAAATATTTATTTTATTATTTGAAGTAAAATTTTTCTTTTTTTACTTTTGTTTACTAAAGATTATAATACCAAAATTTTTTGATCGTTGTTGTAATCCAATTAATTTGGAGAAACACAAAGTTAAAGTATTTTTGCGAAAAGTGCCTTCGCATTTAGCAATTCGCTACAATGTATCCACTGACGAACGTGTATGTAGTGCATGTTTTAAAAATTTACTTAAACGTTAGGCTGTTAATCGTTCCGATAAAAGTGATGGTAAATCAAATGCAGTGGCGGCTGGTGGGTTTTGGGTATACCGATATCTCAATTATTAGATATGGGACCCACACCAAATTTATATGAGTTTATAATGACAATAAATAAACAATTTCTGCGCAAGCAGAATTTAAATTGAAGTTTGCGAAAAGAGATAACTTTTTGCTCGACCGTACCGGCCCCATGGCGCCCCCTATAAGTTTAATATAAATACAATACAATTTATTATTTACCCTAGTTTATCAAGAAATTTCAAATTTTATTTTAAAAAATCCAATTTATACAGATTTTATACCATTTTAAATTTTTATTATCGTTGAAAAAAAATATTAATTAAAAATATATATATATATTAAAAATAATTTAAAATTATATAACATCTGTATGATTTGGATAAAAAAAAAATTAAAATTTGTCGATAAACTATGGTAAATAATAAATTGCACCTATTAAATTTATATTAAACTTATTGGGGGCGCAAACAGCTTCAGGAGTTATTATAAATTTTATAAAATCTATATCTCCTGAAGTTTTAAAAAAAAATTTCTTTTCGGGTGGTGCACCTCAACAATATAAAAAATTATAAGCATTTCATTAATTTATCATATTTCAAAAAAGATTATGGTATAAATGTTGAATAGAACTGCAACGGCACACGGCAAAGGACCTTGTGATGGAATAGGTGGAACAGTTAAGAGAATGGCCGCACGAGCTAGTCTGCAGTTGCCACCTCATCTACAGATATTAACACCAAAACAATTGTTTGAGTGGTCATCGAAAAATTTACCAAATATAAATATTCGGTTCTCAACAGTTGAAGAGTATAGTGCAATGAAAGAAAAATTAGAAGATCGGTTTAAAAGTGCTAAACCGATACCGGCAACGCTTAAAATCCATAGAATTACCTACGCTAGTATTGGATTATGCTATGGAAGTGAAGCAATTTTCAGTTCGGACAAGATTTCACTTCACAATACTATCATGAAGAATAAAAAGTAGTCATTAAGTACAAAAAAATAATAAAACGGATTGGACAAAATGTAAATTAATAATAATAATAATGCTTTATTGAAATAAAACCAAGTTCGTAGTCCTTCAGCCGTGTAAATTAATATTACTAAATAAAATATTTTAAATTCATTCAATAAAATTGTTTTTAATGTATACATATAATATAATAATAGGCAAGTATTAAGTTCAAAAATAGTTTTTTTGATAATTATAATATACCTATAGGTAAATACAAAATAATAATAAATTTTCATTATTGGCTAAAAAAATATAAATAATTGTGATCACATCTTTCTGCTTTGGCCCAAAAGTTGCGTAATATGAAGTAGAATTTTAGAAAATTTTTTCAAAAAAATCGAAGGGGTCGGACTTTTTGAAAATGTTAATTTTCAGCTTTAAACCCAAATAACTTCTTATAAAACTCCATTTAAAGACGAAAAAAATGATACCCCATTTTTTACGATTATCGATATTTATCACTAGTCTATGAATAATTGAAAATGTTTCACCTCAAAATTTAAAAAATCCATATCTCAATAACGGTTTGGAATAAAAGGCTAAAAATTGGTGTGAAAGTTGCTTTTAATACGTACTAAGAAATATCAAAAATGTAGCAAAATCAAGAAGGGTCGCGTATAAAACTCGGTGATTTGGCATGGAATGCCCCATATATCTCTCAAGGCACAATAAACGATTTAGAAAAAAAGTACCTACTCTTCATACAATTTGTATATGGGACTGCGCGACAGGCAACTATTTCATTATCATATTCAGTTTTTTTTAATGCTTTTATGTAGTGGTAAAAATTAATAAAACAAAAAATTTTGTTTATGTAAACCCTCTTATTTTATTATACGCGCATGTAAATTGTACATATATGTTATATCAATGATGTGAAGTTGGCCTTTTTAAAAAAGGGTTGTTGGTTACTGGGCAAACTTTATTGATCACACGATATAACAAGTGTTGAATTGTAATTATCTTCCATATAAAACCATTAGCAGCAATTAAAATGCACTTTACTTATAATAATATATTAAAATATAACTGGTGTATAAACTTTACAATTATAATGAATGAATCTAACAATTGACAATTAACAATGTCGCCACGAGTGTTTATTAAACACTCGTGGCGACATCTCTGTTTTTAATTTCTAACAAATTTTAGACCGATCCAACCTCACTTTCTTCCAATTAAATTATTTTTCTATGGTATTTTTTGGAAACGTAGAAAAAGTATAGTCTGAAACACGTTTGGAATTGCATATTCCGCTCTCGTGAAACCGTCAAACTCGCCTTCGGCTCGTGTGACAAACTCTTCTCTCGAGAGGAATATGCTGTATTCCAAACTTGTTACAGAATATACTTTTGTTAGCCATATTATGTTTACAAAAAAACATTTTGACAAGTCGGTAATTAATATAGTACAAGCAATATAGAGTGGGTAGATTAATTAAAATATATAATATAATATTATATATAATATAATATAATATAATATAATATAATATAATATAATATAATATAATATAATATAATATAATATAATATAATATAATATAATATAATATAATATAATATAATATAATATAATATAATATAATATAATATAATATAATATAATATAATATAATATAATATAATATAATATAATATAATATAATATAATATAATATAATATAATATAATATAATATAATATAATATAATATAATATAATGTAACGTTTTTAACTGTTCGTAGTGTGAATAAAAACACGCACTGGTTAATTAACGAACTAAACTATTTATTTAATAACTTAACTACACTTAAAACACTATAAAACTATAAAACTAACTAAACACTTAACTACTAATTATTTATATATCACTACTGTTCAAGAGTCTATTTATTTGCACTTATATTTATTTATTTCTTCGCGAGTACCAAATCTCAACTGACTCTCCATGAAGCGCCGTTCCTTATATATTACAGCGCCTACGTCTTCTGGAACATTCCAGCGAGCTCCACACTCTCGATTATTCGAGCGCTGAGTCACCGGCGATGACTCATCGGCGATGAGTCATCATAGCGAGATCCAGAGCCGTACTCGCTACATTGCCCCCGTCTTAAAACATTTTCGTCCCGAAAATGGTCCTCAGCTCCATGGCGATAATTGCATAGAGATCCAAACTTGCATTGTGACGTCCTATAGAAGTAGCAGTCTACGGTCTTCCTTTCGGTTGTTCTTTTAGGGTTGTGGCAACAGACAAGAATGTGTATGCCACTAAATCTGAAGATAACTTCCACCATACTTCTAATTATTCTCCAATCTAAACCGTCAAGTCCACAAGCAATCTTCGGTATCGCCAGGTTCATGATGTCCTTGGACAAAAGGGTATCCCTCAATTTATTTAAGGCATTCCATACGTCACGGTAGTTTGGCTTATGATGGGAGAGCTGCTTCGTTACCAGATAGAAGATACTTCTATTGCCTATCTACTCATTATCCACAATTTCAAGCACCTCTCCAACTTTGGGATTCTGCCTTCGTAGCTCGTCAATCCGTCCAAACTTGTTTTTTAAGACAACCGCTATTCCCCTGGATATCCTAAGGTCTTCCGCAACACAGTGAGCCAAGGAGTAATCGGCCGAAACCGTGAACAGATCTTTTTGTTCTTCTCGAGTGACACCATACCGAGCTTTTTTACCGCTCGAATAAAAATACATGAAGTCTTCAAAAGGCAACTCGTCTTCCGGCGGATTAACCCTCCTTACTCTACCGTCGTTTATTTGGTCATCATTGTTTCCAGCGTAAGGAGCCAATCGATTAAAATGGGTCACTTTCGGCTTTCCTCTTGGTTGTTTCCTGATCCTGTAGATGATGTCATTTATTCGATCCATGACTTCGTAAGGTCCCTCCCAAGAAGTCTGCAGCTTCGGTGAATAACCACGACGGCGCTGAGGGTTGTATAACCAAACTAGGTCTCCAGGTTGAAATCCTTCATTT